ATGATGAGGTCTTTAATTTCTTTCATCAATGTCTTATTTATTGTATAGTTTTTCACACTTTGGAAGTCCCAACTGTTTTTTATACAATTGTAAATGGTGTAACTTTAAATTTCTATTTAGAATCTATTGTTACTGTTATATAGAAATACAATAACATATATGCAAAGGACCTGTAGGGGATATATATATATATATATATATATATATATATATATATATATATATAGTCTTCATTAGGGTTTCTATCACTGTGAAGAGATACCATGATTCCAGTAACTCTTATAAAGAAAAACATTTATCTGGGGCCGGCTTACAGTTTCAGAGGTTTAGTCCATTACCGTTATGGTGGGGAGCATGGCTGTATGCAGGCAGACATAGTGCTGGGGAAGTCATTGAGAGTTCTATATCTGGATCAGCAGGCAACAGGAAGAGAACGAGAAACACTAAACCTGGTTTGAGCTTCTGGGACCTCAGAGCATGCCACAAGTGAACACACTTCCTCCAACAATGTCACACCTACTCCAACAAGGTCACAACTCCCAATAGTGTCAGCTGCTATGAACCCATAGGTCCATTTCCATTCAAACTACCACACACACATACACACAAAATAAAGTTTAAAAACTGAGAATAAAAAGCGCTGACATGACATTACGAGACAAAGACCCTGCAAAGATGCTGTTGAGTTCACTTAGTGTTGGCCATCTACAGCTGGGCAGGTTTGTTTCTCTAGTGAGACGCCCTTAGAGAAAACTAAATTTTCATTTGCAAGTTGTTATCGATTGGTGATGGTTTCTGGGTTAGGGATGAGGGTATGTGTCCACTTCTTTCAGCTCTAGGACCCTATCTGGTGCATATTCGTGGAGGCCCGTGCATGCTGCCCCAGTTACTGTGAGCTCATATGTGCTCGCATTGATCTTTAGGTTCAAAGGGCCTTGTTTGCTTGGTGTTCTCCATCCCCTCTGGCTCTAGCTCTTCCCCACCTCCTCTTCTGCAGGTTCCCTGACTCCGAGGAGAGGGTTTGATGGAAACAACTATTTAGGGCTGAGTGTTACATGGTCTCTCACTCTCTGCATACTGTCTGGCTGTGGGCCTCTGTAATTTGAAACTGAGGTTAAGTTTGTAATTAAGGAAAAACTATCTTATCCATGGTAATGTTCTTTTCTCTGAAATTTCTGTCCTCTGATACAGCAATTCCAGCTTTTCTTTAATTGGTGTTCACGTAGGATAATTTTCAATTCCTTTCCCCTTAACATACCTATATTTTTACATGTAAAGTGTGGGTTTTATACATAATCATTTCTTATTAGCAATTTTGTTTTTCACCATTTCAACCCATGGTCAACTTTTCTCTGAAAATACTAAATGGAAATTTCCAGAAATAGCACACATGTCTTAAATAACTCTTATTATAGTATACTGCTATACAGTCATTCCATTTTATTAGCTATTGCTGTTAATATCTTCCTTTGCCTAATAAATAAATTCAACTTACTATAGATAAGTGTGTGTAGAAACCACAGAATATCAAATTTGATATGATTTTCAGCTTTAGACATCCATTAGTGATCTTGAAACACATCTTCAAGGGGACAGGGCAGCTCTAGATAGCCAAGACTAGCTTATTTTACTGGGTTATAATCTGAAAATTAACAGATGCCACTAGTCTTATTTAAAGTGATTATTGATGTCTTAGGTTTTGAGGTCTCACCTTGTTTTCTGTCTGTCCACCTGTTTCTGTCCCCTCTTTAATTTTTTGAATTAGCTGAGTATATTTGGGTACTACGTTACCTCCTTTGTATACTTATTAACCATAGTTGTCTGCTCTGATCTTTTGGAGCTGAAGGCAAGGACAATGGTTCAATCTATAAAGAGCGTGTCTGCAAGCATGAAAACCTGAGTTTAAGCCTCAGAGCCCATGCAGAACAAAACAAACCAAACAAACAAACAAAAAATTAGGCATGGTTTCACATGGACTCACAATCTAGTGCTGGGTTGGCAAAGACAGGTAAAACCCTGGGTGTTATGGAATATCATTTTAAGATGTGTTACATTTCTTTATGCTGTGGAACATTTGTCTAATGATGCAAAAATTGTTGCATTCTTTTATGTTGTATTTGTTTAACTCTGTGAAGCTGTGTTACTTTGTATAAAACACCTGATTGGTCTAATAAAGAGCTGAATGTCCAATAGCAAGGCAGAAGAAAGGATAGGCGGGGCTGGCAGTCAGAGAGAATAAATGGGAGGAGAGATTTGGGAAAAGAAAGAGCAAGAGAACAAGGAGAGGAGGACACTAGGGGCCACTCACACAGCCAGTCATGGAATAAGAGTGACAGTAAGAGATGCAGAAGTAAGAAAAGATAAAAGCCCAGGGACAAAAGGTAGACGGGATAATTTAAGAAAAGTTGTCTACAAATAAGCCAGGCTAAGGCTGAGTACTCATCAGAAAGAATAAGCCTCCATGTATGATTTATTTGGGAACTGGGTGGTGGACCCCCAAAGAGTAAGAGTAAAGGAGTAAAGGCAACCAACAACCCCTGGGGCTTATTAGCCAGCCAGGGTAGCCAGGTTGCTTAACAACCTTCAGGCCAGTGACTGAGCCTGTCTCAAAAATAAGTGGGGGGAGGACCTAAGGAACACGAGCTGAGGTTGTCCTCTTATCTCCACAGATGCACACATGTGCACACAAGAACCTGTATGCACGCATGCACATGTGCACACACACATTTAGCGTTCTTTAATGTATCATAGTTTACCTTTGAGTAACACTGAAGCATTTTACTGGCAGAATACTTGGTTTTGCTCCTCCCCACCAGTGCACTAATGCCGTCCTGAGTTTACTTCTGTAGCCTAGAATCCCACAATATTGAATTTTCACTTAAACCGTCAACCTCCCTTCAAAGACATTTAAATGTTAACAGTGTCTATCTTACCGCATCTTAGGGCATGAAGCCTCCATGGTCACCATTTCTCACTCTCTACAGCCCCTCAGGGGAACATTCCTAGCTGGCAATTCCCTTCCCAGGGCAATTAGGAGCATGGCTTTTAAAGAACAGGTTTGCTGATGGTCAGTCCTCCCAGCTTCTGTGTCTCTGTGCAAGTATCCTCACCTTGGTTTTACTTTTCCAAAGGTACTTTTGCTGGGTGTAGAGTTGGTTGCAGAACTCTGGACTGGAGGGCCTTCCTTTCTGTCCTTCAAGGGAGTCACTGTACTCAATTCTCCCAGTGAATTTGGTAACAAGGCAACTGCTGTCATCCTTATTTATTTATTTATATGGCTGCTTTTAAGATCTTTCATCTTCCTTCTGGTTTTAAGAAATCTGAAGGTCACATCTCTTGGGCAGTTTCCTTCCTGCCTGTTAAGCTTGGTTCCGCTGGGCTCCTTGGCCCTGGGGGTTGTTTCCATCAGGACGCATTGCAGCCCTGACTTCTACAAATATTTTTCCTACTCTTTTTTTGGATTTTTCCTTTTGAGAGTCCAGTGACAGGTGTATAACGCTGCTTGGAGTTGTCACACAGATCACGGTTACTCCTGCTTTAAAATGATTTTTTTCTCTGTGTTCTCTTTGGTTGGTCCCCTTCTTTATCTGCCTGCTCCTTTCAATTTCGGAAAAATTTTGAATTTCGGTAAAGTCTGATGTGTTACTAACACTAACAGGTGTGCTTTCACCTCACACACTTTTCTCATCTCTAGGAGTTTGATTTGGGCCCCGTTTTAATGTTTTCTATGTTTTTATTTAAACATTGAACATATGGCACATAACTATCGATTATCATCATCTCTTTGTTAATTCTAACATCTGCTTCAGCCTTTGCTGGTTCTGGTTTGGTTTCAGTGACTGATTTATCTACTTTTTATGATTATGGATGTTGGTTCTATACATTTTGATCATAGAATATCAAACTGCCCTTTAAAGCTGTTTCATAGTTGACTGAATCACTACCACTACACAAGGGCCTACTTCCTCCCTATGCTGTAGTGCTGGGCTCTGCCAGTCTTTAACCTTTAACCTTTCCCAATCTCATAGGCTGGGACTACCGACCCCCACAACTAATGTTTACAACTACCAGCCCAGTGACAGGTGGCGGCACTCTGGTGGCACCACTGCAGCCACAGCACTGCCCTTGTGATACGTACAACCTGTCTATGTCTCCCATGTTTTATTTGCATTTTTATTGTCTCCTAGGGATCTGGAGTATCCACCCTCAGGTTTATTGGCTATTTAAAGTTCTTTGGTATACTGCCTACTAATGTCCAATGAGCAATTTTAACTGTATTGTTTGTATTTCAAAAAAATTCCTTTGTAAAAGTCATTTATTTGTATGAATAGACAGACATGATCATTTGTTCAGTAATAAAAGTATGTTTTGTAAACAAAATCATTTTCTATAAAAATAAGCCAACATTTGTGTATTATTTCTATGAAGAAATGACTGACATGTTACTCAAATACTTTTTTCTATATTAAAAATAAATAGGCATTGATTCTGGTGTAAAAATGCCTTTAAAGGCAAAAATTTTGGACAACACAGTAATACAAAACACATTTATGAAAACATAAAGCAGACATAAAATATATTTATGAATACATAAAGCAGTTTGTTACAGGGAGAGACATAGTCTTCAGAAAGAAAAACGTCAATTCCCATAATTGAACACTGGTTTACTTGCTGCAGGTAGCAGGAACTTTCAAAGGCCTATTCTCAGTTGTATGGGTAAAAGTGGGGAGCATCCAGGAGGCCCTGGATGGGGCATGTTTTCCCTAAACTGCCCTTTCCCTGAGTCTTCACAGTATTTGTGGTCAATGCCAGGTGGGCGACGGGGAGGGCCTCTGAGACATCAACTCTATGACTTGCACGCGCCGCACAGCAGAGGGCATGAGCCCTCTGCCCAGGTTGGACGAGATGTAGCCTACAGCTTAAGTGGAGAACGAATCAACCAGGCAGTCTTCCTCATGGTGACAACGACACCATTAAACAAAGTCCCAACCCCGACTAACCTGTCTGGTGCAGGTGGTCTCTGGCCACCTCAAACAAGCGCAGGTGCATGTGTGTGATGGGGTTGAAGGAACCACAGGCCAGGAGCACCACAGGGATTCGGTTCTTCATGCTGTTACATACATCCACATCCACTGCAGCGGCCACCCTGCCTTTATAGGGACAAAACATGTCAGGAAGTTAGTATGAAGACAACTGTCTATTTCAGCATCTAAGCCACGCACAACCATGACTCCAGATATACAGGGAGGCAATAACAGTAACATTTATGAAAAGTTCACCATAGTTCAGGTAACGTGTTAAGGGTTACAAACCACAATGTGACATAAACCTTTTCTCCAAACCCTTCTGTCACCTCAAATGAAAGCGTGGATCAGAGACCTTAAGAGCTGCTGAGTCAGGTCTGGAACTGAGGCAGCCCAAACTCAGTCTATATTTGTTCTTCTTGACTTTTGCCCGGGTTCTTTGGTTCAAAAAAGATCTGCATGGTTGTCCCGATGTCATCTATCACAGATTCCAGGTGGCACTTTTCTCTCTCTCTTTCTCTCTCTCTTCCTCCTTTCCTCCATCCATTTCTTTTTTTGGTTTTCAAGACAGGGTTTCTCTGTGGCTTTGGAGCCTGTCTTGGAACTAGTTCTTGTAGACCAGATTGGTTTAGAATTCACAGCAATTTGCCTGCCTCTGCCTCCCAAGTGCTGGGATTAAAGGCGTGCGCCACCACCGCCCGGCCTAGGTGGCACTTTTGAAAACTTTTGTGTTTTGAAATATAGTTAGACTCATAAAACAGCTGCAGAAAACTTTTGCATAAACAATTATTATATATTCTTTACCCATATTTCCCAAATACTAACCTTTTGTCACACATATGAACATTCATTCTCCTTCCCTGTACACACACACCTCTACAAGTTCCTGATGAAGTCGTAGACAGAGCATCCCTTTAGAATGTAAACGTGTCAGTATGGTTTCTGGCCCAGCAGACCTTGTCTGGGACCTACAGACTCAGAAAGGCCCAGGCCAGCCTCCAGTCTCCCTATTCTATGGTCATCGAGGGGAAGTTAAAGGAGAGAATGATCCTGGCCGTGGGCTAGCTGCTGGTGTCTCTCTGGATTCCTCTAGGTTGCTCTGGAGGTAGCAGTGAAGTGTCACTCAAGGCTGGCTTGGTTTTAACTCATGCTGTGCCTCTCTGTGAGACCAAAGACAAATCACAGCCCCTCTCTGAGCCTCAGTCTCCTCCCTCCTCATCCACAGGAGGAGAGCATGAAGATCGCTGTGCACCAGAGGCAGGCAGCCATTAGAGGATTCCCAGTGATCTGTGTGCCTAGTATTTGTAGCCCTTTCCCCTTGGGCGTGGACTGGAGCTAGGAACTTCTTTGAACAGAATACAGCCAGCAGGCAGGGAGGTCCCTCTGAGATAAGGTTCCAAAAGGCTTCTAGCTTCTCACTTGTTCATCTCTCTTACTCGGCTTGCTCTAGGATGAAGCCTATGAGCTTCATGCTGTGAGCTGCCCATGGAGGAGGGGCTGACAGTGCCAGGGACAAGAGAGAGCTGTGGTCACCAAAGGCCACAAGAAACCATGTCAGTAACAACTATGTATGTGAGTGTAATGCAGATCTTTCCATGGTCAAGTTTCAGGTGAGGCTATAGTCCTGTGAATATCTCAAAAGCAAACTGTACTGACTACTTTATGTCAACTTGACACACGCTAGAGTCACTGGAAAGGAGGGAGCCTCAAATGAGAAAATACCTTAATAAGTCATAGGCAGCCTGTAAGATGTTTTCTTTCTTTCTTTCTTTCTTTCTTTCTTTCTTTCTTTCTTTCTTT